GGGGTCTTATCTGTTCACTCATTAAATCAATGATGCTGCTCGTGTTGTTGTTTGTTTTTTGGACTGTTTCATGATGCCTTATGTGTATGAACAGGGATCCAGGAAAGCTGAGGCAGTTTGTATTGGACCTGCACTCGGGAAAGTTGCACAGGGAGTTCCATCATGGCCCAGACCCCACAGACAGCACTCCAGGACAGGTCAGAGTTCACCACAGCTTTTGCATGGAATTGCTTTTCATTTACAAGAGTGATGTGTTGAACTTGCCATCATATTTTTTTTAATGCTTTTTCAGTTTGTGCTAGAAATTGGACATAAAACTTGAACATGGACACAATAATAATTGTGTGCCTTTATAGAATTTTTCCCCAAAAAACTTTTTCTACAGATATTTTATTTATTTGTTTTTGAAGTTTTTTTGTTTGTTTGTTTGTTTTCTATTTTAAATATACTTGTATTTAAATTCTAAGTTATTCCTGTGATGGCAAAGCTGAATTTTCATCAGCCAATACTCCAGTCTTCAGTGTCACATGACACTTCATATATCATTATAATATGCTGATTTGGTGCTCAAGAAACATTTTTATTATCAATCTTGAACAGGCTTAATATTTTAGTGGAAACCATAATGCAACTTTTTTCAGGGTTTTTCAATAAATAGAAAGCTCAAAAGAACAATGTTTATGTGAAATAAAAAATATTTGTAACAATGTTAAAGGTCTTCACTATCACTTTATCAATTTAATGCATCCTTGCTGAATAAAAGCATTCATTTATGCATCCTAGAGCTAAGTAAATGCGCTAAATAAATAAACGTATTATTATTATTAATTTAAAAAAAAAGACTGACCCCAAACTTTTGAATGGTAGTGTGTAAAACTACACTTTATACTATTATCACTGCTTGTAATTTTACGTTCCATTATTAACAAATTACAGATTGCATGTAACAGCACATCATTATGCGATGTTAGTTAATAATCAGCTTCTGTTTGGCCTGTACATGTCAAGATGACATTTTGCTCAAAATCAGTGTTGTCCACTTTTCGGCTGATTAAAGTACCCCATTACGACAGGCACTTTACTCAGTTTGTGAGTTCAGCACACTTCCTGGTCCAAATCTCTGAAAAGAATGTGTTCATCTAAACTAATTAATGCAGGCGTACATTAATTAAGAAGAATATGACTGAATGAAACGCACGTGCTGACATTTGAATGCGTGTGCAGCAGAATGAACCCGGTGGCCTTGGCACAGAGCGATCTGCTGACAGGAACGCATCTGTCTATCTGTGGTCTCGGTATTATGACTGTATAAACAGTCACTTTACAGATCCAGGTGATTTGTGGTTAATTATTCGCCTGTTTGTGTGTGTGTGTGTTCCAGCAGGAGGAGAATAGAGAGGTGGCCAGTAGTCCCCCAGAGAGTTCCTTCCAGAAATTGGCCCCCAGTGAGACGCGCTACACCATCCTCAGGGACCGGGACGAGCTGTGATGTTACAACCGCATCGAGACCCAACCCAGAACCCAGCAGCCAGCTGGTGCCTACCTGGCACTGCCGCTGCCTGTGCGATGTCTATTTTCATAATTTTTATTTTAGATAAAAAAAGTGAGAAGGTGAACCCCTGAGCCTTTTTGGGGTGGGGAATGAAGAGAAGTGTTTTTATTTTTGTTTTTGGAGCTTGTAAATATGTTTGTGCTCTGTGGGTCTTGTCTAAATTAAAAACATGATTTTTTTTTTCTTTTATTTTTATTTTTATTTTTTTGGCCTACATTTTTGTCTACCCAAGTCCCTTTTTTTGTAGAAAAACATTGGTACATTGGTGGCCCTCTTTGTTGGGAACGCAAATTGAGTTTCTTATGGATCTTAAGTGCGGGCAAGTGGAATCATGGGGAAAAAAATAACAAACCTGCAGTCAACCCGTGGTGTTTCACTCCAGTCCTCAACAGAGCGTGCCCAGTGTGTGTGTATGTATGTATGTGCGTGTGTGAGTATGTGCACATGTACATTACATGTGCTTATTAGTCTGTATTCGTATGTACTGTACTGTTCCAGACTTGTTTAAATTCACGCTCGCTAAGATCCAGACTCGCTAGTCTCATATCATCCCATTCCACCAGGTGAGTGGTCAGGGGCAGGGTTATGTGGGGGTCGGGTTTAGAGGGGTGGGGATTATTTGTAAATCTGTCATCTCAGAGGGGACAAGGAAACCAAAAAAAGAAAAGTAAATTAAAAAACATTTTACAAGATTCTATGTTGTCTGTTTCATGAAGTGGGTTTCACTTTTGTAATTCATATTTTTTTTCTACTTTTGCACTTTCTAGGTCCCATTACGTCTGTACATTAAAGGGATAGTTCACCCAGAAATGAAAATTCTGTCATTAAAGGGGTCATATGATGCGATTTCAA